CTTGCCTGTTCTTATCTGATCGTGAATGGTCTGTCCTGTTCTTTTACGCATTCGAGAATTGCTGATTCGATTAGTTTTACTATGCAGAACAGTAGTTGAAAAACAGGACCGAGCTGTGTACCTAATTTTTTTCTTATTTTTCTATATTAATAATATAGAAAATCCCATTTTTATTTCTTAATTTTCTATATTGATAATATAGATAACAGTCAGTTTTATTTCTGATTTTTTTATATTGATAGTAGTGAAAATCTTATTTTTTATTTTTTTTTCTGTGCTAATAATATGCAAGACATTTAATTTCATTTCTTATTTTTCTACAGTGATAATATAGAAAATCTTAATTTTCATTTCTTATTTTTCTATGTTGGTAGTATAGAAAATCCTATTTTTTATTTCTTATTCTTCTATATTAAGAATATAGATAACAGTTAGTTTCATTTTTTATTTTTCTATATTGGTAATATAGAAAATCTCATTTTTATTTCTTATTTATCTATATTAATAATATAAAAACAAGAAATAAAAATTAGAATTTTCTATATTATTAACATAGAAAATTAAGGATATAAAACTAACCATTTTCTATACTATTGCTATAGAAAAAAAACGCGATTTTCTATAGTGAGAGTATAGAAAAAAAGAAATGAAAATTTATATTTTCTATATTATTACCATGGAAAAATAAGAAGCAAAACTAACGGTTATCTATATTATCAATATAGAGAAATAAGAATTATAAACGAATTTTTCTATATTATTAATATTTCCTATAATATTAATATAGAAAAATAAGAAATAAAAATTAGGATTTTTTATATTATTAACATAGAAAAGCAAGGAATAAAACTAACCATCTTCTATAGTATTGCTATAGAAAAATTTTAAAAAATGCGACTTTCTATATTGAGAGTATAGAGAAAAACAAATGAAAATTTATATTTTCTATATTATTTAAAGAAAAATAATAAAATAATTGTATGCACAGCTCGATCGTGTTTTCTAACTGCTGTTCTTCATAGTAAAACTGCTCGAATCAACAATTCAAATAAATTTTTATTTCCAATTTTAGATTATTTAAATAAACTTTTGTTTTAATTTTATATTATTTAACTTAATTTTTATTTTTAATTTTAGGTTATTTAAATCAATTTTATCCTTTATTTTTAGATTATTCACAAAGATAAATTTAAGCGGATGTATTAATTTAAATAAATAGTGATGTCCAGTTTGGCTGGAGGTTCTAATTCTTTTTTTCGTATGCAGTTTCGATGATCTATCATCTTAGCTACACGACAAAAAAGAATTGGAATCTCCGACCAGACTTGGCAATCCAAGTGATATTTTTTGCACTGTTTGGAGATTGGGGGAAGGGGGGGATAGGAAATGGTTATACGGAGTATGATGACAATTGGTGCTGTACACGACCGTGTGCGATCGTTTACGGTGGTCGTATACAGTCGTATTTCGCCGTATACGACACGACGATATACGATCATCATTCTGGCGGCAAGTAATACGGCGAAATACGGTCGTATACGATCGTTATTTACATAGTATACGACCGTACGCGATAGTATACGACATTGTATACGATCGTTTACGGCTGTCGTAATGATCGTCCTGGGAAAGAGCAAAGTATCAGCGTCATCAGCAATTCACACCTGCAGATCTTTGCTCATAAGCATAGGTAGGTATCTATTATTTGAAAAACATTTTAGCTATAATTTTTCACCGACACAACCTCAGCACCTAATTATTTCGTGTCTGAGATAGGTACACTTGACTTAACAATCTCACATAATTTTCGTTAAAATCCTCGGAACACACTTAGGGCCCTTCCCTTGTAAGTGTCTTTCTACTAATAACATAACATTCAGAAAATTCTCATTAATCGAAGAAAGGAGTTCTGTCATAGTTCTCGACACTAAATACATGCCAGTTAAGATCAAAATAAATTGTAGCTTGAAACCGAAAATTGTTGTCAGAAGCAATAATCGATCATTTGTTTATTTCAATATTCTAAAACTATAGGAATAGTTAAAAATTGCCAATTATACGAATATCGACACGTTGCAAATACATCAAATGGGAAAAATGAGATATTTTAATACTAGAGATCTACAGAGTACTCCGAACTTTGATTTCAACTTCATCACCGAAGTGGAAGTCAAAGGCAACAAACGAGAAATTTTCAGTGTCAGAGTCGAAGTTTGGAGTCAAAAACACTTGACTCCAAAGGTCTCTATTTAACACAGACAAGATAATAAACGAATTTGTAAAAGGAAATATCTGATCCACTTTTTTCTTTCCCTGAAAAAGACTCATATTCATGAATCAATGTAGCAATCAAATCTTGATTCAAGCACGGCATGAGTCCACAAACTTTTAGAGTTTTCTTCGTCTTGCACTGTTTTATTCATTGAACTGATGCAGAACATTTAAAGATGTCTAACAGCGAGATACATTATGTTACCTCATTAATCAGAAAAGTGTCCATTGTAAAATATGAATCAATTACACTTTTAAGAAACTAACTGTTCGTAACTCTACAATCTGACCATTGATAATTCATTGAAATTTTGAGCATATCTTTTCTAAGGATTGTCGACCAACAGCGTTCTGATTTCATCATTTCATTTCATTCTCTGCTGTAATGGATGGCAATTAGGAACACTGATCTGATCTGATAACACAATCAAACAAACAAGTGTTTTCGCATCAGGATTGTAATAGTCAAGAAAATTATTGAAAAGGAAAATTCAAAAAAAGATTCTGAATAATAAATAAGAATTTAAGATGAAAAATCAAAATTCTTAGAATCTTGTTAACATTGCTGGATTATCATAAGCACCATCTATTGTTCGTTTTATTACAACATCCAATGAAGATATAGTTCTTATATTTGTATCAAATATTTTTTGAATTGTAATATCATGAACTGTATTCAAGTCCTTTGCTGCTGTTGATTGAGTATCATTTGGAACCTTTTTTTCCAAATCTACATCATCTGTAACATTATATCTCAACCATTCACGTATTCGTTTAGGTAAACAAGAACCACATAGATCATTAACATGTATTATTAACTTTGGATCAATTTCCTTTTGTTTATTTGGACGAGTTAAATACGATACGATTATTCCAACAGTCAGAACAGTACAAACAGCTATTGTTGAATACCACATATAACTAATAGAATAAAAGCCAAGTAATGGATTTGATCTACAAAAAAACAAAGAATTGATTTTAAGATTTCATCCTGCAAAAAATCTCACCTAGTTGGAATTGTTATTCGTGTAGTCATATTAACTGGTACAGGACAATTAGCAACTGATAATGGTAAACGTACATTTTTCATTTGATTTTTAGTTAATTGTGCTCCTAGAAGAAGCCATAATTGTATGAAAATACTTATTAAAAAGCCAATAAAACCACCATGATTATTGGCTTGTGGAAAAAATAATCCAAGAAAAAAAACACCCATTATTGGACCAGATAAAGCACCAAATAATGATATTGCAATAGTAAGTATTGATCCAAGATAACTTACAACATATGCTAATAACATAACTATAATTCCTAATAGAATTGATAAAAGTTTTGATATAAAACCTTGTCTTTCATCACTTATTTGCTTTCCTATTAAACCTTTATAAAGATCTTCAATAAAAACAGCTGCAAGACTATTTAAACCAGATGATATTGTTGATAATGAACCAGAAAAAATACAAGCAAGAAATATTCCAGGTAAACCTTTTTTATCACTAAATACTTCCATAACAAAATATGGATATAATTGATCTATACTTGAAATATATTTAGCTGTATATGGATCACAATCAACATAATATGCATAAAGAATAATTCCAATAGTACAACATGATATAACAACAAATGTATGACCAATTGTATTTATTAATAATGCTTTTTGAGCATCACGTGTTGTACGTACACACATATAACGTTGAACTTGAATTTGATTAAAACTATAAGTTGATATAGAACTAAGACCACCACCAAGAACTAATGACCAAATCGTATGACGAGCATGAGGATGAAAACTTACACTTAAAATAAAAACAAAAACTATTAGTTGTTTAATTGAGAAATTATCAAGATTTATTACCTATCAAATTCTAATCGACCCCCTTTTGCTGCTATTGAAAATGTTCTTTTAACACCACCAAGTACTATAAAACCTAAATATTTACATACAATACTAAGAAAAAAAAACACATAATGTCTTTGAATATTCTTTAACCTTGTATAATAAAAGCAAGAAAACCGACAAGAATGACTATTGCTTGTAAAACATCTGTCCATATGACTGCTTTCATACCACCCTATAATCAAAATAATGATCTTTTTTTTTCTTTTCTTTTTAACATACAATTGATGAATAAAATGTACAAATTGCACCCATTGAAATGATTGAAAGCCAAATATTTAAACCAGTAGCTAAAAACATATCAATTCATTCATTTCTTATTCATTCAATATCATATAAATGATTCACTTTGACTTAATGCTGATGCCGGAGCATATAAAACAATCGCCATATAGAGCAACTAATGATATTAAAAAAAAAACTAAATAATACATTTTAATAGATAATTTACCATTAGAAATGAATATGCAAATACTACACACATTCGTACTCTTCGATCAAAACGTATTTCTAAATACTAAATTAACGATTTTCTAATATTAAATAATCCTAATATTGATCAAAATACTTCATAAATACTTGTAAATTTCATTTTACGAAATTTTGGCATGAATATTAATGCTGTTATTGTTGAAGCTAAAATTCCTGATATAACTAAAAAGATTCAAATAAATGAATAATACACAAAAACATCGAATATTCAATCAATTACCTTGATAACCATACATTGTTCCATAAACATAGATTTCAGTCGGTACTCCTAATAATCCAATAGCAGAGACAAACGATACTAAAATACTAAGAGCAGTTGGAAATATCTGAATATAAAATTATGAATTCAAAAGAAAATTACTAATCATAATACTTACTCCCATAGTACCATCAGCTATAAAAGAGAGATAAAAAGAAAAGGATTTAGATTTTTTTTTAATAAAATGAAATATATTAATACCGAGAAGAAATTCTTTAGCCGAATTTTTTTTTGATTTAAAAACTCCAAATATAAGTCCAATAACAGCCGATGATGCAAGAAGTATAACAAGAACAATATAATCAATAATACTCAATGTTCGTGATATCATTTTTTTTGGATATTTTTAAAATAAGTATTATTTGATGAATGCTTCAGCCAAGAAGATAAAGACAATGGTACTAACAATACTAGCAATAATTTGAATACATAAACGTAGTAATGAGAAATACAGCAATATAAATACTTTTATTCTTTTTATATCATATACTAAGGAAGTAAATAGTTGATAGAAACAATATGATAATAGGTCATATTGATAATGATGTATTTTTCTATCTTATGCCAAACATTTATTTTTAAGAGTAAAAAGTCATTTTTTATTGTCAATAGATAAGCAAAAATATCATCTATATTTCATCGATTCAGATCATCAATTATAGAATAATTTACTTCCTTTTTTAAATTCTTACTCATGATATTTACTTTACTCCCTATGTCGTCATATGAACTATCATCAACTATTTATTGGTAAGCAAATATTGATATATATTCAAAAATGATCTGTTTTATTTTGTTTGAATGAAATGTTAATGACACTTAAATCAAAGATTATTTTCTGCACATTATATTCTACTGTTTTTTATTTCTCTACAATATTCAATATTGATACGCAAAGTTTAATAGAGAAAAAAGATTTAGGAAATGAGCTGTCATTTTGTCTAGGTAGTGCGAGAAATGTTTGTTCTTTTCCGGAAAAAAAAAATTATTTCTTTATCATATAAATAGGCCGAGTTATGAATGAATTTGAAAAGTATTTTTTTTCCGGCAGAATTAGGACACCTGACTCTACTTGAAGTTCAACTATTCAACTATTCAATATGAGGGTGCCACGGGATAGTGACCGGAGGGCATAGTGCGGCGTGGGGGTGAGGATGTGACTGGAGGGCATTGCACTGCATGAGGGTGAGGGTGAGGGTATGACTGGAGGGCATCGTGCTGCGTGAGGGTGAGGGTGTGACTGGAGAGCATCGCGCTGTGTGAGGGTGCCGGGGGATCGTGACCGGAGGGCATCGAAGGGCGTAAGAGTGCCATGAGATTGGAATAGTTGCTTGTTGAACTGGAAGTATTTAATAGTTGAAAAGTTGAATACTTGAATACTTGAAGTAATAGTTGAATACTTAAATTCAACTTTCAAATTTGACCCTACTGAAGTTCAGAGTACTCTGCAGGTCTCTAGTATTAAAATATCTCATTTTTCCTATTTGACGTATTTGCAACGTGTCGATATTCGTATAATTGGCAATTTTTAACTATTCCTATAGTTTTTGAATATTGAAATAGACAAATGATCGATTATTGCTTCTGACAAAAATTTTCGGTTTCAAGCTGCAATTGATCTTGATCTTAATTATATACCCAAGTGAAATATCTTGTAAGCAAGATCTTGGGCAAGATACAAGGTACAGAAATGTGAGTAGATCTTGAAAATTTGGGTACAAAATAATCACATTTTCTTGTACCAAGATCTTAACTTAGATCTTGGAGACAGATATACAAGATCTTGCGTACAGATTCGCAAGATCTTGGGTAGAGATTTTCGATATCTTGAAATTAATGTGTTGTCTTTTGTGGCCTTTTCTTACTGATCTTTTACATTCAAATAAAATTAAAATACCTTTTCAAATATTTTTCATTTTTAAAATTCATATTCTGAGGATTGATAGGTCAGATCCAGAGATTCGACCGATTCAGAGTTGGTGCGACGTCTATCAGACCACTTCGGAGTAGACCGTTCTCGATCATCGATCGGGATCGGCAGTTTAGTTCTAGGGTAATTCTAGACTAATAAATAATGAAGAGATATATATAGAAAAAAATTAACAAAATTGGAAAAGTACAGTTTTCACGCATTCAGTCGTACTATCTATATATCGCTGAACGCGCAAAAGAATTCGATGAATGAATACATGGACGAATACAAAGCGAGCAGAACGACAAAGAACTTTTTTTATGGCATATTATGACCATGAAGCAATTTTGTGTGTAAACCTGCGATGCAAAAGTGGGACACATTTATTTTTAATGTGATGATAACTTAAAAGAATTTTTAAATATTAAAATAAATCAATGATGTCGCTTTTTGTATCACTCAAGATCTGGGTAGGAGACAGTAGGATATAATATCTTTTCCAAGATCTTAACTAGGTAAGATTATTGTAAAGATCTTGGCAAGACCTTGGAGACAGATTTAACTAATACTAACGATATCTATGAATATAATTTTTCCTTTGCAAGGTCTTGATAAGATCTTGCTTACCAGCCCCAAGATTTCCAGATCTTGCTTACCAGATGTTTCACTAGGGTAGTATTTTTTTTAGTATCGAGAACTATGACAGAACTCTTTTCTTCGATTAATGAGAATTTTCTGAATGTTATGTTATTAGTCCAAAGACACTTAGTTGACACTACATTTTGTTGATAGGGTATTTTCGTTGACTAGATTTTTCGTTGAAAGAAAATTATATTGATGTGTTGGTATTCTATAACTAGGAATCTATCGAGCCCGAATTTCTTGATCCCACTCAGTTGCCTTATGGATGTGTCATTTCTATAATAGTCTCTTGTGGATTTTCTTCCAGTAAATTTCATTTTTTCATTGTTTTTTATTCATCTATGAAGCCTAATTTTTGGTGATACTTTTCGACAATCAGATTTCTCCATGTATTTACTATTGCTGATATATTTCGATATCCTATAATCGCCACTTCTAGAGTGTGGGTGTGGGTATAGGTGCGGGTGGATGTGGGCGTGGGACCTCAAATATCTACCCCGACACTGACATCCCAGACCGACACCCCACACCCACACCCACACCCACCCAACACAGACTAAGACTGAACCTAAATGAGACTGACACTCTCGATTTTGCGTCAATCCCAATACATCTCTATCTTCAATAAACTGATTCTTGAAGATTTAATATTGTTCCATAAAAAGTTTTGGAGAATAATCTGCCGACAAAATGCATTTCGATCAGTAGCATATACTTGCCAATTTTCTCATCATTTCTTTCTGAGTACGACAACAATATCATTATTCTTTTATATACTAGTTGTCGATCAAAAAGAGGAAACATTTTCAAAATATATATATCATATATCGAACAAGAAATGTTGATCTATATAAAATAGTTACCAGATAGTCATTGATATCTTGATAGGAAGGTAACAATAAACTAATGATATGTGATACCTTGATAAAGGTACTTCCTCTTGTTAATGTCGAAGGAAATGTCTCTATCAGAATTGATTAAAAATAGTTGAATTTGTTTGTTAATGTCGGAGGAAGTATCTTTATCAAGGTATGACACATCATTTGGTTCTTGTTACATTCTTATCAAGAAAAATTGACTATTTGATATTTAACATGAATTCAGCGTCTGTTCTATATATGAGTCATATATGAATCGTATATGCATTTTGAAAATGTTTTCTTTTTTTGCGATTAACAACTAAAATATAAAAGGATAATGATAGACTTTATAGTATTATTTATATATATACCCATAATTTTTCAACCAGAAAATTCATAGATACAAGAAAATGAAAGAACAACAGCAAACAATTACAATGGAAACATCCTGTTCATCTCCACAGGAAGTAGTCACTACTAATCTTGATCCACTATTAATGCAATCATGCGATATTGATAACGATCATCCTGTAGATAATAATCGAAGATCATCTATTCTTCATACTCCCAATATACATAAAAATGATGAAGAAAATATTGATTCTAATAAAAAATGTCATTTCTTTAAAAAAATTTTTTCTTATATGGAAAGATTTTCTGGTATTATATATGCATTATTATCTGCATTTTTCTTTACAGCTACGACTTTTACTATAAAACAACTTGGTGTTGTTTTATTTGATGTATTTATTATTCGATTTTTTATTCAAGGTTTTATTGCATATGGATTTATTATTTACAAAGGTTATTATATATATAATTCAAATTCTCCTATTTTATTAATTTTTATTCAAGCTTTAACAGCATCTACAGGTACTATTTGTTTTTATCTTGCTCTATCAATGCTTTCATTATCCGATTTAACTACAATACGTTATACACAAGTTATTTGGACAGCTGTTTTTGTTTTTATTATATATCGAGATCGAATTACTTTATCAATAATTTTAGCTTGTATATTAACATTTATTGGTGTTATTTGTGTTGCTCAACCATCATTTATTTTTACACAAAAAAAACCTATCAATGAAACATTAGAACTATCATTATCAAAATCTAGTGATCAACGTTTATTAGGTATGTTTATTGCTATTATATGTGCATTAGCAATAGCAATGAGTATTGTATTAACAAAAAAATTATTTGAAAAAAAAGTTCGTCAAAGTATAGTTATGTTTCATTTTATTATAGTAACTTTGCCTATTCTATTAATAATTCAAATATATTATTGGGGATTCTCAACAACAAATCATAAAAAATTTAATATAAAAGAACTTTATCTAAATAAAAATTTTCTATATGCAATAATTCTTGCAACAATACAAATAATTCCAATGATTTTTTCACAAAAATCAATTAAACGTGAACATCCATCAATTATTTCTGTTGTTTCAGCCAGAGATGTCCATCGCGGCTGAAAATCTGCCGCTGCCGCGCCGCGGCCTTAGAAAAAAAAAGCTGCCGCACCGCTGCCGCGCCGCGGCGGTTTATAAAAAAATGTTGCCGCGACGCTGCCGCACCGCGATGACTTATAAAAGAAACGCTGCCGCGCCGCTGCCGCGATGAATTATAAAATAAACGTGCCGCCACCGCGCCGCTGCCGCGACGATTTTCAAAAAAGTGTTTCTAATTTCACTGCTGTGACTATATTTGACCAGAGATATGGGTACTAGTCCATCAGATTTATTCAATATCAGGGCGTTTCATTTGTAAATCGTGAAATTCTATTAAATTCATACAGTTTTTCAATGTCCTCCAAAAAAATCCTGCCGCTGCCGCGATGGTTTTTTAAAAAACCTGCCGCTACCGCGCCGCTGCCGCGATGACTTTTAAAAAAATCTGCCGCTACCGCGCCGCTGCCGCGGTGATTTTTTTTAAAAACCTGCCGCTGCCGCGCCGCGATGGACATCTCTGGTTTCAGCATCTGAAATCGTTTTTGCTACTATTTTACAAAATATATTTTCAAGAGATAAATCCAATATTCCTACATTAATTGGTTCAACACTTGTTTTAACAAGTATTATTATTGTTGCTGCTCAAAAACTTTGGCAAGATCATCATAAATGTATTTGTCTTCCAACATCAATAGAAGAAAATAAATAATATATTTTTTTTTGTTCTTGTTGTTGTTTTTATTAATCAAGAATCCATTCATACATTGTCAATATTTTGATTAATTTTTAGTCTTAAAGTTCTAGACATCAAATAGTTAATTGCTTTGCGTTTATTACAGAAACCAAAAATGTAGGACCGAATCAAATTCGAAAAAGTTCATAACTATCTACTTACATATTGTCACTCTACGAATGTGATTCTACAACTCATCAGGAATGACATATTCTTCAAAAAAATATAAATAAATAAATAAATAAGTCCCATAGGCTTATCTCCCGTCGGGGCCAATAGATGAAAGAATAAGATCTTTCCAACCTTTTCTATTTCGAGCTAGATGAAAAAGATCTTGTATATTGCAGTTGCACCAATCTGTGCTATCATCTAACCATTCTCTAGAAGGACGGCCAACTCGAGATTTTCCATCCATTCTGGAGAATACCACTTGCTTTATTAGACTGCTATCATCCATTCTACTAATATGTCCAAATAATTGTAACTTTCTCTTTTTTATGATATCCACAATAGTACTTTTTCGGAATATCATTTTTCTTACAGCCTCATTTGATACTTTATCTGTCCATTTGATTTTTAATATTCGACGATAGCATTTCATTTCAAATGCTAGTAATTTCTTTTTATCACTTTCCTTTAGTGTCCATGTTTCTGATGCATATAATAAAACAGTGAACACAGTTGTAGTTAGAGTTTTTAGTTCACTTTCTACTTTGATTTTTTCACTACTTATTATATGTTTTAACGAAGCTAATACTGCTGTTGTCTTGCTAATTCTTCTTTTGATTTCTTCGGTGCAATTATTATCCCAAGTTAAAAGACTTCCAAGGTATTCGAATCTGTTGACATTTTCTATGACTTCTCCAGATATTTTAATCTCTTGGTTATTGTCTTTCTTCTCGAAAACCATTATTTTTGTCTTTTTTGCGTTTATAATTAGTCCAGCAGACTTCGATGAGTTGTTCATGGTTTCGATTTGCTCTGTAAGACTATTAAAATTTTCGTCGATAAGATCTATATCATCAGCAAATCTTAGATTGTTTATTAAATTTCCATTGATGTTGACTCCACAAGGTTTTTGTTTTACCTTCTTCATTATTCGCTCGATGTATGTTATAAATAGAAGCGGAGATAATGGATCTCCTTGCCTAGTTCCTACGCTAGTTTAGAACCATTCTCCATCTTCCTTATTTATTCTGACAGCTGACTGAGCTTTCCCATAGATTTCCTTTAATAGCCTGATTAATTTACCATCGACACCGTAAGATTTCAATACTGCCCGCAAAACTTTATGATTAACAGTGTCAAAGGCTTTCTGGAAATCTATGAAACAATTATAGATTTTTTTACTTTTCCTTTTTGCCTTTTCCGCTATAAGTCTCAATATTAGGATTTGATGAACAGTACTTCTATCTTTTCTGAACCCTGATTGTTCTTCAGAAAGATAGGAATTCAATTGATATTGAAGTCTGTTTAGTGGTATTATTAAAAAGATTTTGCTAATATGATTAATGAGGGAAATAGTTCTATAATTTGAACATTCTGATAAATCCCCCTTTTTAGGTAATAGGAACAAAATTGACTTTCCCCAATCTTCTGGAATCACTTCGCTATGCCATATTTTACTACAGAGTTTGTGAATTTCATGTGCTAATGACTCTCCACCACTTTGTAATAATTCAGCTTGGATTCCATCTAAACCAGGACTTTTATTCTTTTTTAATGATTGTATAGCTAGTTCTACCTCCGAAAATAAGATATCATGAGATTTTTGCTGAATTGGTGGGGAAATTTCTTCTAATTCTTTTATTACTATATCTCCTCCACCATTATCTTTGTATAAGTTACTACAATATTGAGTCCATCTTTTCTTGATTGCTTCTTTAGATTGTAGCAAATTTCCATCATGATTCCATAATATATTTAATCGTGGTGTAAAATCTTTCTTTTTTAGTGTTTTTATTAAGCTATACGCTTTCCTGGTGTTACCTACTTTTAGGCCTTTATCAATTTCTGTATACTGTTCCTGCAACCATTGTTCTTTATCCTGTTTTACTGATCTTTTTACTGAATTGCAGGCTTCTCTATATTTATTGCTGTTTTCTATTGATATATTCTTTGTTAGCTTCGCTAAACGTTTCTCCTCGACAAGTTTTAGTGTTTCTGCAGAAATCCATGGTTTCCTAGATGATTTTATTGTAGGAATAACTGTATTTCCTGTTTCTCTGATAGCATTTAGTATTTCTTTTGAGTGTTCTTCGATGCTACTATTTGGTTGAAACTTTTTGATTTTTTCTTTTAATAAATCGATGTAGAGTTCTTTGGTAGTAGTATTGTTCAACTGGTTTATGTTTAATCTGCAGTTCTGATTTCTCTGATGGTATATCTTCTTCAGATGTAGTTTGATGTTGCATAATACCAGTAAATGATCTGAACCGATGTCTGCACTTTGGAATGTTCTGCAGTTAATTACAGAAGATTTCCATCTTTGCTGAACTAAGATTAAATCCATCATGTTTTTATGAACTCCGTCAGGTGATTCCCAAGTCCATTTTCGATCTGCTTTATGCTGGAATCTCGCATTACAGATGAATAATCTATGTATTGTTGCAAACTCTAGGAGACGTTCTCCACGATCATTCCTGTCTCCAAAACCGTATCTACCCATCACGGAATTCCATCCAGTGTTATCGTTGCCAACTTTTGCATTCCAATCGCCAGACATAAAAATAAGGTCTTTCTTAGGAATTTTAGCTAGAGTATTCTCGATGGAGTTGTAAAACGCCTCGATTTCCTCATCTGAAACTGCAGAAGTTGACGCATATACATGAATTACCGTGATTTTAAATGGAGTTGCATTAAATCTTGCTGTGATTACTCGTGAGCTAATTGGATTATATCCAATTAAAGCATTTTTAGCTTTCCCACTTAATAGAAATCCTACTCCATTTGCATGAATGTTTTCTTCACATGACCATATAAAATCTCCGGTAGCTGTTTCTCCTTTTCCTGTCCATCTAGTTTCTAAAACACCAATTATATCGTATTTGAAACGTTTTAGTTCATGTCTAAGTCGATCTAATTTTCCTGTTTCCCATAGAGTTCTAACATTCCATGTTCCGATTGTTAATATTTCTATCCTTAATCTAATACAATTGGTGCTAGTTACAGTGTTATTTGTTTTTGAGTTTTTGGTGTTGGAAGCCTTTCCAGTAACCAACTTTTCGACTCTGCCCCGGTCACCCGACAGAGGACGCGGACCTTGTTCACCCGGGCGACGTCCGAGCCGGTATGGATTAAGATCATTGACTGTTATCATTTGGTTTCTGCCGTCTTTGAGTTTTTTACGGATAGCGGTATCTGCACCCCTTTCTATCCAACGCTGCTCCTTTTTCCGGACTTGCGACCGGCACAGAAGTCGCAAGATTGTGATTCCCATGGTGGAGTACCCTGGCTAAGGCTTATAGAAACTTGGCTCGGATGAACCTTGCTTCGGGCGGCCTTTACTCGCCGTATCATCCCACCGTCATTGAGTTTCTGTGGCATTTTATAAGTGTTTTGGTGCCACCGAAAACTCCACCACACCCTGTTGGCAAGATGGCTGAATTGTCCGGGACTGCTTATTTGATCAATTGCTTGATCTTATTCGCAGCTAACCATCATACTAATGGCCATTCCACTATCCGCAACCTGTGGACCCGCTTGGTAGCATCCAGCTTGTCCCAAGTCAAAAAAATATGATCATCATATATTCGATTGAAAACCAAAGAAGAAAATAGAAAAGTATGGAATTCCGTATAATAGAATGACAAAGGCCGTGATACTAAATGATTTTCTAAAACCTATTTGGAAAAGCTTCTGGGTACAGTTTTTTTTGAAGCTAAAATATGAAAGTTACATATCCTTTGTATTAGTTGCCGATCCCACCCAACCTCCACTGATGACTATGGAACTGTATACCTTTGACCTCGGGTAGTAAAGTCTATAAAATACCGATAGTTGATACTACGCATTATCAGGGAAACTGACACCCTACTGCCTGTCGAAAGCTCTCAACCCCGTTGCCACAGAAATGTACTTTTGACTCCGATTGCTCAGGTCTATAAGGGGAGGGAATGGAATATATGTGAGTTTCACAAAAGTGTTTGCACAAAAGGGAAAAATCTCTATTCAGATATTCTGAATGGATTGAGAATGGATGGAAATGGCTGAGGATGGCTTGGAATAGTTGGGAATGGATAAGAATGGCTACAAATGGCTGGGAATGGCTCGAAATGTTCGAATGAGATCC